AAGGGGGGGAGGGGGGGGGGGCCCGGCTCTGGGGGGCCCCTGCCCTGCCCGTGGCGGGGGGGGGGGGGCCGGGGGCGGCCGCCGAGGCCGGGGAGCTCCGGCGCGGCGGCCCCTGCGAGCCCCCCGGGCCGCGGGGTGGGAGCGGATCCAGCCCCTGGCTCCGTTTCTGCAGCTCCTCCTTGGGCATCTCCAGGCTCTTCCAGGTGCTAACACCGCTGCCCGTGACAAGGGGCAACTTTCTCTAACTGGATTTCACTTTCTTCACCGCGTCAACTGCGGATGCTAACTTTGGGTGCAGTTTTTCTTATTCCCTCGAGCTGCTGTTTAGTTTTGCCTTTCGAAGTGTATGACATTTGATGGTATTTCTACCATTGTGTTTCTCTGAGAGAGCAAGGGTTGTCTTGCAATGCCTCGGGGAAGCAGAACCATCATGTTTGCATGAATTGCTTTGTAGTTAGATGTAAGTAACTTAGAGGTTTGATTTTGGGATTTTTTTTTATTATATTTTTTAGAAAAGTTCCCTAACACAGAAGTGATGTTATTTTTCTTGTCACATTGCCTTTCCTTTGCCTGCATGTTTGTGGCATGATACAATACTTTGTGAATGGTAAGATGCGATAATCCAGTCTTTCACTATGGAATGATACTATAGATTGACAACTATGCAATAATCAATTTGAAAAAGTTTGTAGTGACAAATTTTCATGTGTCTGTGCAGTGTTAGGTTGTATTTTTTTTACTATTTTTTTGTAGACTCGTCAAATAACGGTAAATGGAAATTGTGGCTTAAATTTAAAGAAGTACAAGTACCTGACATGATTCAGAAACCCCGCCTTTCTATTGCAGGTTAAATCAGCCATCGTTCTTGAGAGTCCTCCGTTGTGCTGCTTTGTCAGAATTGACTGCATGTGTTTAGATATTTGCCTCCAGATCTTCTGTTGAGCATGGCCCTGCTGAAGGGCAGTGCCGCCTGAGAAAAACACTCTTCAAGAATCTCAGCTGTGACAGACCACTGAGAGCGGTACCGCAGAAACTATGTGAGCTGGTTTTGCGCTCCTGGAGTAAACATGATGAAAACGGAGTCTTCAGGAGAAAGATCAACCCTCCGAAGTGCCTCTCCTCACAGGAATGCTTACAGAACTGAGTTCCAGGCGCTGAAAAGCACCTTTGACAAACCGAAATCAGATGGAGACCAAAAAACGAAAGAGGAAGGAGAGGCCTCGCAGAGCAGGGGAAGGAAATATGGCTCGAATGTCAATAGGATTAAGAACTTATTTATGCAGATGGGCATGGAGCCCAGCGAAAGTGCTGGAGTTACCCCTAAAACCAGGGGGAAGGGTGGCCCCCCATCACCTCAAAGACGAATTAGGCCCAAAGAATTTGTAGAAAAAGCAGATGGTTCAATTGTAAAATTGGAATCATCCGTCTCAGAAAGGATTAGTAGATTTGATACTATCCATGATGGTCCTTCCTATTCCAAGTTTACTGAAACTCGGAAGATGTTTGAGCGAAACGCTCATGAAACGGGACATTCCAATCGCTATTCCCCAAAGAAGGAGAAAGTCATTTCCAATGAGCTTCCGGATGAATGGGGCAGCTCGAAGTCTCACAGAGGCAGCACTGATTCACTGGACAGTCTTAGCCCAAGGACAGAGACCGTCTCTCCAACTGTGAGTCAGCTCAGCGCAGTTTTTGAAAACACTGACTCACACAACGTAATCGCCGTAGAAAAATCGGAGAACAATGAAGAGTACTCTGTAACTGGTCACTATCCGCTAAGCCTCTCGTCTACCGTTGCAAATATTTCCTCCCCAGTTGCAAACCTTGAGGGTTTCAGTCCTCTGAAAGATACCAGCACGTGGTCTCCGCCAGCCAAACAGAGTACAGGCTTGATGTCTGCTGAGAACTCTCAGCAGAACAGCACGCCTTCAGCACTGAGACAGAAGACGTCCACAGGCACTTCAGCAGGTTCAAAAACAACTGAAGAAGTAAAGAAGAGTACGGAGGCAAGTGCTGATTCTGTTGAGAGCTCTGCAGCGAGTCAACAGGATTTGGTCAATGTGCTTGACAGCGAAAGATCGGTGAACAGCTGCGCTAGGAGTAAGTCAAAAACAGAGGCAGAAGTTTCGTTGCAACAAAAGGAACGGTCAGAGCATGCAGAGGGTATCTTTGATAGACCCGAAGCTGCAGAATTACCAAGAAATGTAGCTTCAGGTGTGGATTTTGCCACAGATGCTGTTTCAGATGCTACTGAGACCCATTATGATGAGCCAAGTGAAAAAGAAGTGCATGAAGATGTGAATAATTTTCAGAGTTCCCACGTGTACATGCACTCTGACTACAATGTATATCGGGTACGATCGAGATATAATTCTGACTGGGGAGAGACAGGTACAGAACAGGATGATCAGGATGACAGTGATGAAAATAACTGTTATGAACCCGATATGGAATATTCTGAAATTAATGGATTGCCAGATGAAGATGAAATCCCAGCCAACAGAAAAATACAGTTTAGCCGTGCTCCGATTAAGGTAAAGTTTCCTACGTTCTTTTTCTGCGGTTTGGTTCGTTTTCAAATGCAACTTTATTTGAAGTAGATTTTGACAGCTGATCTCGGCTTTGAAAAGATTGCAGAGGATCTTTCGATACACATTTTTATTACAGTCAGCCAGTGAGCATAATCTTAAATGAATTAAGGAAGCTGAGCTCTGATGAGCTTGTGTCATTTCCTAGACTACTTGATGGCTGACTAAACCAGGAGAAATTGAGAATGACAGCTGGGTTTGCGAAGTTTGAGAATTTTAACATGCGTGTTTTGACTTATATGACTGAACTGTAATCACATGGTGGAACGTAGAAGTGGGTATGTGGTGGCCTTTGTGCTGCTTGTTTTTTTTCACTTGAAATCACAGCTTCTTTAGATCGGCTGGCTTTTCTTCAGCTCTCATCAGTTCTTTAAAGTCCCTGTATTTAAACACTATGTCATGAAACACACTGTGATTCTGTCTCAGTCTTAGAGGACTGTTAATATTCTGCATCTGAATTAGTATCATCTTTTCTAGTAGCATCTTCACTTTTTTAAAACTTTATTTATTAAACATCAATATACGTATATCTGGTATATCTCAGTGCTACAGAAAGGCCAAAGTCCCTTGATGGAAATAGCTAATGAAGGGTGGGTTTCTTGCAGAGCTTTATTTGGTTTGTTTTTAAGTATCTTGAAATTACTGCTAAGAATGTTGTTTCAAGGAATAACTAGTCGTGTTTTGTTGTACCGGCTTTTCACTGCTGAGTCACAGAGTTAAGTATGGAAGTATTTTAGTTCTGAGTTGCTTTTAATGCACATGGTCTCAAATGGACAATTCAAAACTGTAGTAATTTTTTTCCAGAAATGACTCTTGAAAGAGCCATATATGGTGGAATACTTGAAATCTAAGTGTTTTTAAATTAACAGTCCGTAATTGACTGTATTTTCATTGTGTGAGATCGGTAATGAAAATTATTAAATTAACAAACAGAAGTTTCACTATCAAACTTGAAGTAATGCGATTTACAAAATCTGCGTGTACACCACCCGTGCTTTAAGTTAGCGTAAGATGTGTATTTGTATTAGGACGTTCTAATCTGAATGAAGCAACCAGGTTTTCACATCTGTTTATTGGAGGGTGGAGGGCAGGGAACGGCCTTGTGTTCTTTATGCTTCTAAAAGACCATTTTTTACACTGAAACAAAATATTCTGAGCCAAGATAATGGATTTTTTTGTTTTGTTTTGTTAGTATTTTATTCAGGCTTGCGTCATGGACCAAAAATTCTAACAGTGTTTGTGCTCCCTCTAGATTATTCCCATAATTAAAGTAGCTGGTTTTCTTTAATTTTTTGGAGAAGAAGTAGAGAAAACTCTTATTCCAAAGAATTATGAATGTTGTCTCCCCCACCACCTTCCCCCTCAGGCTGTACTAACAGACAAGATGATGTTCTCTCTTCTGAAAGATCTACCAATTCTGTGCAGAGGTTTGTTTTATCATATTTGTTATGGTTCTAACAGATGAGGATTCAGAAAGTGATTACACTGATTTTATTCTTGAGATGGTTGGATTTTCTGCTGTTTCTATTTTGAAAGAGCTAACAGTGACATTATTACTTCAGTATATTGCTGTCGCCTGTCTGAATCACGCTGTCATGCCAAGCGCTGTAAGAGTATTCTCTCAATTATTTAGTTATACAATTTTTCTTTTCTTCTCAAGATATTCATGCTATGTTCATTTCAGATTACTATTATCAAGTAATAATAACAGTCCATCAGGAAAATGCTCTCAAAGTCATTTGTGTAAATAATAAAAGAGTACATTTGTCATGGTTTTCAGCATAAAGCACTCTTAACAAGCTTATCCAAAGTAAAAGAATTGTTGCTTTAATTATTTTAGCATCTTCATTGTAGATAGGAAGAAAACAGAATAAAAGCTGCATTGAGAGAGAACAGTGTAGGAGAGATTGGGAGGTTTGGGAGATCCCTGTGTGATTGCTTTTTGTCCCGGGTGCCTTCAGTGCATGCAATCTGTTCGTCATGTGGGGAAACAGAAGTGAGACCATGTGGAAGGCTTGCACTAAGAGGAAGAAGTGCAGCGAAAGTTGTGGAAAATTAAAAGCTGCTTCTCGAGCCTTCTTCCCTTTTCTCCACAGCGCTCTGTAATTCCCTCGGCAGTGTCAAGCAGCATAAGCCCGGGCGGGCTGCCAGCAGCATCAGGTCACTGCCTGGCCATGGCGCTGCGGGCAGGGACCCGGGAAGGGCAGCTGGAGAATCCCCCGGTGGGTCCTCGGAGGGTCGCGAGTCTCTGGGCTCCTGCGCTGCCTCTCTGGCAGCGCTGCCAATTCGGCACGCTGCTAGGAGGTCGTGAACCGGCTCTGGCAAGCAGTTTCTGCCCGGCAGATAGGTACCAATGAGCAGTGCAGAGGGCAAGGGGCTCTTGTGTTCTGTCCCCTCGCACAGCGCTAGCAGACGAATTTGCGTGACCACTCGCTTCACCCGTCCGTTACGTGGGGATGATGCTTGCTAGCTTGACAGACAGCAACTATTTAAGAATTTTTCTGTTCTAGGCAGTTTTGTGTATTAGTGGGCATAACTGGTTTCACTAATACTTTCCTGAACATCATCTCATGCACAGTGTAACTGAGAGAGAGGAAAATACAAAGCGAGGTAGGAGTATTTTCTGAACTGTTGAAAACTGATTTGTCTTTATTAAAATGAAGCAATTTGTACTTAACTACTCTGCTGGACAGCGGTGTGAAAAGTCCAACCCAAACTCTAGACGTTTATTGCTGATTTCACAGTATTGTACCTCTACTCTCTTCCTACAGGTGAGCTCTGAAATAATAAAAAAAATGGCATTTGAACATGTATACTGTGAAATGAGTGGGTAGTTATTGCCATAAAGTTGCTACTTGAAGGTTTCAACAGGTTTAGATAGACATCTTTGAACTGTTTTTCCAAGGGATTTTTCAGGTAGACATGTCAGAAGTAAATGAGAAGAGTGCTGAGATTGAAGAGCAAAGAGATTTTAGTTACCACCTAAGGGAATCCTTTCTGTTCCTATAGGGGAAATGTTGTGGACTATGAGCAGTAATGAAGTATAGGCAGAAGGATGAATAAATAAAATCTTACTCATCAAACTGATAAAGATTGAATTCTGCTCATCTCCCAAGCAGGAAAAAAAGAGTTATTGAGAAACTCACTATAAAGAGAAGGATTCAAGTCAACAGATGCAGGAAACTGCTCTGTTACAGTCTGTAATTTCGCTATCACAGATCCCGTGCTCCATGGGCCATTTACTCTGCTCTAGGATTATGGGATATGTTTGCTGATCTTGTCTCTGTTGAAAGACCCTTTAGGAGTCGGTGGCTGCCCAGGGGCCATTGCAGGCTTGGAGAGTTTCTAGGTATTTGGAGTGTGGCATCGCTGATGTGAGCAGTTGTGCGTGTCTGTGGGAGCTTAAGTCAGCTTGGTGTCGTTCAATAAAAAACACCTTAAAAGGGCCCAAGAGTTGGTGCTGGTAGTGGGAGTGGGCATGAGTGTGTTGCTAGACAAGGGATGTGCATGTTGATATAGCAGTTGATGTGAGTGTTTATATAGCGATACAGAGGCCTTCATCAGTACTGGCCCATCCTTGTGTTGAGGTGTTGTGTTTCTGCTCAGGGATAGAACTGAAACTCTCCAAAGCAAGTGTAAGAGGTGAAAAAGTTAAGTAAATGTGATGAGGAAAAAAATACCCTGGTTTTGCCAGGGATACTTTTCTACACAAAAAAGCAGAAACTCTGTGATTTATTGGCCTTTTGTTGAGTTTTGCAGGGTTTCCTGAGGGTTGGGTTATATACCACTTCCCAAACATTGTGGGCTCATTGGACAAGGTTTGCCAGTAGTGCAAAATTCACTAGGTCATGGCTTTCCACACTCTAGCAAATGGAAGTGTATTGATTGTCCAAATCAAAGTCCTTTTTGAGCCATGCTTCCTCCATCCTGGATAGAATTAGGATGGAAGAGTAATATGTACCTCTTCTCCTCTCTCCAAGTCCAGAATGTCTGGTATCTTGATAGCTGATGGCTGCATCTTCAGTTAGTGCCCTATTTCTGTCACCAGGTACACGTTAAACCATTTAAAGCTGTTAGCAGCAATTGGTATCTCCCACTTAGCCTCCTTTTGTGACTTTCTGCTTTGCTGACTTGGCCCTACCTGCCTAAGGGGTTGGAGAGGGTTGGGCAGTGTGTGATCAGACCATAAGGCAGACAGCAGGTAACTCGTGGTGCAGTGAGGGGTTTTAGCCCAAGCTGCTGCGGCAGTTGTTATGGTTCCATAAAGCTTCCTTAGGGTGCAGTGGTGGTGAAGGGACCTCTCTGCAGACCTCTCTGAGGTTTGGGGTGGGTGGGGGCGAGGGTAACAGGAATGGAAGGGATATAGCAAATGGCTCTTCCATGCTTCAGCTAATTCCATACGAAGGGATTATGATCACTAGTGCCCGTGCCTCATATGTTCTTCCTCTCTTTTGTCATGCAGCATGACTGAATCTTATACCTTGCAGCATTTCAGTTTTCCAGATCATGGTTTGTTCAAATGATTTTCAGGAATCAAAATTTGTGCTTCTCTCTCTCCCTCTCTCTGAGCCTTTGAAGAGGTTTTACAAGAAGCGCTGTGACTGTAGTTTAGTGTAAAATATAAATGCCATTTGTATTTAACAGTTGTTTTGAAATTTCTTATGAACTATATGGTGCTTTTTCCTTATTAAAAATCAGTTCAAAGAGCAAGTCTTCTAGTTATTCCTCGTTTCTCTCACTAAAATGTATTCGGGAACGTAAACAGTGGGAAGGAAAGAATCTGAAACAATCTGACCCTGTAATTACTTTGGAAATTTTTACTGTCTAAAATATTATTATTCTTTGTCTGGTAAGCATCAAAATAAAGTATGCGGAAACATTTTCAAGTTTTAGTGTTGAAAAAGAACATATTTCTTTGCCTGATTCAATGTTTAGTATGGTATTTA